TGAGGGGAGTCACGTCAAGATTTTCACGAAGAGCACTATTGCAGCATGGAGTGACATTATTTGAACACTTTTTCATGATTTTGCACAGTGTGGCATCACAATTTAATTTATTGTAATTAATATTTTATTTAATTGGTTTAATTAATTGAATTCAAGTATCACTTTTGCACAGTTTAAGAGGTATTAGTTGTCCATCACTATACCACCAGGGATGTTTAATGCATATATGAGGATATTGCACTAGTTTTTTATTTATTTATATTTGCATATTTGCATAGCTTAAGAGGTATTATTTGTTTATCACTATACCACCAGGGACGTACAATTTATATATGGGGATATTGCACTATTTTCATTTATATTGATTAATAAGTGTATTTAGGTATGAGATAATTGTCACTATTATTTAAGTTGAGCGCTTCACCACTTATATAATTTTGTTTCACATATCTTGCGGTATAGAGAATAGGTGATAGCAGCTAACTCACTAGGTTCTGTGGAGCGCAGGGGGATTTCTGTATATTTAGTACAATCAGTCTGTATATTCAGTAAAGCATGCTTGTTATACTCACTGTGGAACCTAAGGGGTTAATCCTCTGCAATGTGTAAAAATGCTGTTTTATCCTGTTTTCTTTGATCCTCAACTTCTACTTCTCCTGTTATCTCCTGATAAGATATATTGTGAAGGAGTCACTCTGCACATGCTCAGTTTAATGTCTGTGTGTGAGAGGTTTTTTTTTTTTCTTGGGAGAGTGCATTTGATCAGCACAGGGCCAATCAGCACTGTCCAGACAGAGGGTCAGGAGTTCTGCATCCTCCTAGACCAGAAAGAAAACTCCTCCTACAAGGTTTAACCAGTGCTCTGCTGGACACTGATAGAAGTCACAAGACTGCTATATACTGCTGATGAGAAAAGGTATTTAGCAGTTTATATTTACTAAAATAATTGCATTTCCATGATTTGTGTACTGTGGTAGACCAGATATAGTGAATGCAGGGTCCGGGGAGAGCGGATATAGTGAATGCAGGGTCCAGAGAGACCGGATATAATGAATGCAGGGTCCGGGGAGAGCGAATATAGTGAATGCGGGGTCCGGGGAGAGCGGATACAGTGAATGCAGGGTACGGGGAGAGCGGATATAGTGAATGCGGGGTCCGGGGAGACCGGATATAGTGAATGCGGGGTCCGGGGAGAGCGGATACAGTGAATGCAGGGTCCGGGGAGAGCGGATATAGTGAATGCGGGGGCCGGGGAGACCGGATATAGTGAATGCGGGGTCCAGGGAGAGCAGATATAGTGAATGCAGGGTTCGGGGAGAGCGGATATAGTGAATGCGGGGTCCGGGGAGAGCGGATATAGTGAATGCAGGGTCCGGGGAGAGCAGATATAGTGAATGCAGGGTCCGGGGAGAGCGGATATAGTGAATGCCGGGTCCGGGGAGAGCGGATATAGTGAATGCCGGGTCCGGTGAGAGCGGATATAGTGAATGCAGGGTCCGGGGAGAGCAGATATAGTGAATGCAGGGTCTGGGGAGAGCAGATATAGTGAATGCAGGTTCCGGGGAGAGCAGATATAGTGAATATAAATCAAAAGAAATGCAGCGCTAGATTTCAAAATTTACAATAAGAACCATAAATGATATGTCCATTTCATATGTCAGTTCTTTTTATAGACTAATATAACAAAAGTCCTGTGAACATCATAAGTTCCAAATTGTAGGATACCAAAAGTAGTCATTGGGATCTTCAGGCTCCTTATGCTCCACTCTATTTTTATAAAGAAGGAGATGGATGGGTTCGCTATTTTCTGAGCCATTTAAGGTGGAGGAATCCCTGGACTCTAGACGGCGTTGGACCCTTCTGGTGAGCCTATGATGACCCCCATGAGTGAGTGACACCATCCCTGAGAGTCTATCGCGGCCCTAGATGATGCCATTCTAATGACCAAATCTGGATGTCTATGTGGAGTATTTACATACAACGCCTAGTTTGTATGTACTTCTGATAAGTGCATCACTATACAGTTATCTCACGGAACAGCTAGGAGTCTGCAACACTGTGTATCCTACAATTTGGAACTTATGATGTTCACAGGACTTTTGTTATATTAGTCTATAAAAAGAACTGACATATGAAATGGACATATCATTTATGGTTCTTATTGTAAATTTTGAAATCTAGCGCTGCATTTCTTTTGATTTATATTTACTACTGAGGTGATGAGGTATACCTTTTATGCTAGCAGCTTCGCAAGATTATATCTGGGTTGTAATACTGTATAAGGTTGGACCTGTATCTTTTTGCGCTCATTCATTTATATTTATCTTAGATATAGTGAATGCAGGTTCCGGGGAGAGCGGATATAGTGAATGCAGGGTCCGGAGAGACTGGATATAGTGAATGCCGGGTCCGGGGAGAGCGGATATAGTGAATGCGGGTTCCAGGAGAACGGATATAGTGAATGAGGGGTCCAGGGAGAGCAGATATAATGAATGCCGGGTCCGGGGAGAGCGGATATAGTGAATGCAGGGTCCGGGGTTGATATAGTGAATGCAGAGTCCGGGGAGAGCAGATATAGTGAATGCAGGGTCCGGAGAGACTGGATATAGTGAATGCGGGTCCGGGGAGAGCGGATATAGTGAATGCGGGTTCCAGGGAGAACGGATATAGTGAATGAGGGGTCCAGGGAGAGCAGATATAATGAATGCCGGGTCCGGGGAGAGCGGATATAGTGAATGCAGGGTCCGGGTTGATATAGTGAATGCAGGGTCCGGGGAGAGCAGATATAGTGAATGCGGGGTCCAGGGAGAGCAGATATAGTGAATGCGGGGTCCGTGGAGAGAGGATATAGTGAATGCAGGGTCTGGGGAGAACGGATTTAGTGAATGCAGGGTCCGGGGTTTAGTAACACTTTAAGTCTGTCACTGGCTAACTCTAGGGGCTGGAGGAGCGAGGCTGCCTCTGGGACCCCAGACACTGAGAAGCAAAAACAAAAAAGAAGCGCACCAACCTTGTGCATTACCTCAGTAGACCAGATATTTATTGAATACAAAAATATACTCACAACAAACAATGAAGTATTTCAAGCATGCCAGTTCTCAAAGGAACTATGGAATGGTAAGACCTGCGCGAGTCCCATCATAGGGGTGGACACTCAGGGAACAGCTGACGTGTTTCGAAGGATGTTCCTTCTTCAGAGCTCTGATTCCATAGTTCCTTTGAGAACTGACATGCTTGAAATACTTCATTGTTTGTGAGTATATTTTTGTATTCAATAAATATCTGGTCTACTGAGGTAATGCGCAAGGTTGGTGTGCTTCTTTTTTGTTTTTGCTTCACAGTATTGGTCGGGCTTCCCCAGCCTTGTTTGGAGCTGCACAACCCCATATGCACAGGTAATCTAATTTTTTCAAGTTCTGGTTCCATCTGTCCACCTCCTTTGGGTCTGAGTGCAGGAGAGTTTGTTTCCATTTTGAATTGTTACCCCAGACACTGAAACAGAGGAAGGGAAGGAGAGGTGCCAGACCACACAGTTTAGTGAACCGACAAAAATGTCCAGTAAAATCACACTCCCAAATGTTCAAGGTGGCAGGCAAGGGTTAGGTCAAAGTGGGGGCTGAGGAGAATTCCAATCCAAGCCGAAACCGCTGGATGTAGGATGCGGGAATCCAGACATATAACCAGGGAACCGCCACGAGGAGGAAGCTGTCAGATGCTATCCAGAGAGCTGTCAACCACGGGACTCTGTGGCCAATGGGAATGCGTTTCGGAGGCCAGACTACGCCTTCATTAGCCTAGAAGCTAGAATAACGTAGACTAACTTACTAAATATCCGAGAGGTTAGCCTAACTACTAGACTGATTAAGGAGGTGTGGTCTGGCCTCCAAAACGCGTTCCTTAGTAGTTAGACTAACCTAGACTAAATATCCGGGAGGTTAGTCTAGCTACTAGGCTGAGGAAGGAGGTGTGGTCTGGCCTCTGAAATGCGTTCCTTAGTAGTTAGACTAACCTAGACTAACTAAATATCCTGGAGGTTTGCCTAGCTATTAGGCTGATGAAGGAGGCGTAGTAGTCTGGCCTCCGAAACGCGTTCCCATTGGCCACTGGGTCCCAGGGTTGACAGCTCTTTTGATAGCCTCTGACAGCTTTCTCCTCGTGGCGGTTCCCTGGTTGTTTGTCTGGATTCCAGCATCGCGGTCTGCAGCAGGTCCTACATCTAGCGTCTCCGGCTTGGATTGGACTTCTCATCGTCCCCCACTTTGAGCTAACCCTTGCCTGCCACCTCGGATGTTTGTGAGTGTGATTTTACTGGACATGTTTGTCAGTTCAATAAACACTATCGGCGGTCTGCCACCTCTTCTTTCCTTCTTCAGTTACTATCTAGAACTGTGCATAGATGGTGACTGTATCATTGTGTGTTCCAGGTTCCTAAAGAGTACAAGGATGTCACTGTCTCGTTATCCCTGGAAGAGGTGGAAGACATAGATGAACAAAAGGATCTATGCAAGGACATCATGAAGGAGGACCGGCCGCCCCTCACATCACCGGGTAAGAGGAGACTTTGATTTCTTGTAAAGGAGAGAAGAGTATTTAAGATCCACCAAGATCAGGGTTTCTCAACCAGGGTTCCTCCAGGGGTTGGTAGGGGTTCCTTGAGCAATGACCAATTTCTGCCTCTTAGGTAAGTTCCCACTGAGAAGAGTATTGAGGATCCACCTAGATACACACATCCTCTGATTGGGGATGAGCTCAGGTGAGTTCTGATCCTTGTCCAAACCCATCAAGAAGCCATCACCTGTACTGGTCTAAGCATCTGTGGTTGGGTCATTCTCCTTCAAGTTGGGGAATTCCTCAGTCGTTTATGAGAAGCCCAGTACAGGTGACAGCTTCCTAATGGGCTCAATCAGGTAGGCTTGGACAAGTATCTGAACATGCTCATTCCTACCTCTTATATAAAGACAAAGAAACAATGTATTCAGTCATTGTGTGTGTTTCCTACAGATGGATCCAGTAATGGGAACCCACCAGAGAGATGTCCCCGTCCTCTGTATTCCCAGGACTCCACACAGGAAGAAAACAAGATTCCAGAGGATGATCCGGTAGGTAAAAAAAAAAAAAAAAACCTCCATCAACTTCCCCTGTGTTGGCCTGTCAGGCACCATCTTGTTGTGCTGCGTCCTGCTCCAGAACTAAACCAGACATGAAATACGTTCACCGGCCACTATAGTAGTTTTTATTTTTTTATTTCTATTAAAGTGTCTACTTAACTTTGTGATTTTTAGAGCATAATTGATTTTAAATTCATTAACAAAAAGAGATCATTTAAAGGGACCATTTTTTGTATAGGTCATCGAGAATATAAACCAGACGGATTGTGAAGCAGAAGCCAGAGAGGAAACAGAAGACACTGATATTAGTGAGGATGATCGATGTAAAGAGGATGAAATTCCTCCAGAGATTGGCACAGGCGAGTAATAAATAGTAAATCCAGAGAAGAGTCCCAGATCCTCCTTCAGTCACCAGAACAGTCTGTAGACAGTATGGAGGAGTTTTACTAAAACTGGCGTACTGAGAATCTGATGCAGTGGTGCATGGGAGCCAATCAGCTTGTTTAAACTTTCACAATAAAACCTGGAAGCTGATTGGTTTTTATGCGAAGCTGCACCAAATTTTGCGCTCTCTAGTTTTAGTGAATAACCCCCATGTGCCCATTGGGGAGGTCAGGAGCCATCAGCCTCTATTAGACTCCGGCTCTCCTCCTCACATCATGTCATTGAGACGTGACCAGTCTCCCCCCTTACACACTCTCTGGGGTCTCTCATACATCTCAGTACAGGGGGCTTCACTCTCCTCTTTATTCACAGACACTCAAATGAAAAATTTTAAAGAAGAAGAAGAGGAAATACTTGTGAAGATCAAAGAAGAGGAAATTCCTATAGAGATCGGTACAGGTGAGTAGAAAACAATTCATCTTCCTGTTCTGGTGTCAACGAAGTCACCGGTCACACCACTGCGACTTAAAATTGTGCGGTTTGTGTGCAATTTCAGGTTCGATTTCTGAAGACTTTATTGCTACTTGTGAAGATTTGTTGCAATTTGCTGTGTGATTACCATTCTATTCTATGTACAGTCGTGTTCAAAATAATAGCAGTCAGACATCACTAACCTGATCAATCACTGTTTTTGGTAGTAATGATATTTCTACATGGCAAATAATTTACTAGCAGGTGTAGTAGAGTAATAGAAATCCAACAGACCCAACAGTCATGACATGCATGCTGCTGATTCTGTGTAATTGAATCACTAATTGAAAGGGGTATGTTCAAAATAATAGCAGTGTGGAATTCTATTAGTGAGGTCATTCATTCTTTGAAAAACAAGTGGCAATTATTGCCCTTATTTAAGGAAGGAAGGCAGCAAATGTTGTACATGCTGGTTACAGTGCAGTTCTCTCTGAAATTCTGAGGAAAATGGGTCGTTCCAGACATTGTTCAGAAGAACAGCGTACCTTGATTAAAAAGTTGATTGGAGATGGGAAAACATATAAAGAAGTGCAGAAAATGATAGGCTGCTCAGGTAAAATGATCGCAAATGCTTTAAAATGGCAACCAAAACCTGAAAGACGTGGAAGAAAACGAAAAACTACCATTCGGATGGATAGAAGAATAGCCAAAATGGCAAGGACTCAGCCAACAATCAGCTCCAGGAAGATCAAATAAGATCTAAAGTTCCCTGTGAGTACTGTTACAATTAGAAGACGTCTATGTGAAGCCAAGCTATCTGCAAGAAGCCCCCGCAATGTCCCACTGTTGAAAAAAAAGACGTGCTGAAGAGGTTACAATTTGCCAAAGAGCACATTGACTGGCCTAAAGAGAAATGGCGCAACATTTTTGGACTGATGAAAGTAAGATTGTTCTTTTTGGGTCTAGTGGCCGGAGACAGTTTGTCAGACGACCCCCAAACACTGAATTCAAGCCACAGTACACTGTGAAGACAGTGAAGCATGGTTGTGAAAGCATCATGATATGGGGATGTTTCTCATACTACGGTGTTGGGCCTATTTATCGCATACCAGGGATCATGGATCAGTTTGAATACATCAGAATACTTGAAGAGGTCATGCTGCCTTATGCTGAAGAGGAATGTCCTTGAAATGGGTGTTCCAACAAGACAACGACCCCAAACACACCAGTAAATGTGCAACATCTTGGTTCCAGACCAACAAGATTGACGTTATGGAGTGGTCAGCCCAATCCCCGGATCTTAATCCAATAGAAAACTTGTGGGGTGACAACAAAAATGCAGTTTCTGAGGCAAAACCAAGAAATAGAGAAGAACTGTAGAATGTAGTCCAATCATCCTGGGCTGGAATACCTGTTCACAGGTGCCAGAAGTTGGTTGACTCCATGCAACACAGATGTACAGCAGTTCTCAGAAACAGTGCTTATACAACGAAATATTAATTGACTCAAATGAAAGCAAAATCTTCAAACATTTTTCAGTTTATATAGTGAATGTTTGAGTTTGTAAAGAAGAATACAAACACTGCTATTTTTTTGAACAGTCTAATATTCACTTTTCATCAATTTTTTTAGAGGAACAACACAAATTTGATCTATTTTTCTTCATGTTTTGATTTGGAATAGAATGTGTAGTGTTCCCAATGCATTTGTGTGTATGGAAATAAAAGCTATTAGAAGGATTTTGAGCTTTATTCACTTTTTTCAACACACTGCTATCATTTTGAACACAACTGTATGTGAAATCACAAGGCAGAAAAAGTAATGCAAGAACTACTTTAGATATTGAGCTGCAGCAAATCGCAAATATTAAGACACCAACATTCACATGCATTAGATACGATTTCAGGTGCGATTCCAATTCCCAAATCGCACCTGAAATCGTATCGGTATGACCGGGCACTAAGAGGGGATTCTCTACACTTTGGAGGGATTCCCTCTTACTGTTGTGTCTCAGAACCAGGAAGAGAAGGCAGATTTCTCCATTGAGACATGGACATAAAAAAAAATCAACTTCTTTTGCTTCTCGTTTGTTCCAGATGGACGAGACACCAGGAGAAACATGGAGAACTACTCTGTGATTTCTATAGATGGTAAAATAGAGGATGACATCAAGGAAGATTCTTCAGGAGAAAGCCCCCTTACCGAAAATCTCCATTCAGCTCTTCACAGCGCAGATCTGTTATCCGATTCCTCATTACATGGCGAAAGCTTTCCCGCTCAGAGGAACTTTACCGCAGATAAACCATATTTATGTTACGTGTGTGGAAGATTTTTCTCTCGGAAAACACATCTAATCGAACACGAAAGGACTCACACGGGAGAGAAGCCCTTTTCGTGTTCAGAGTGCGGGAAATGTTTTATGCAGAAGTCGGCTTTGGCTCTCCATCAGCGGATTCACACGGGGGAGCTTTATCCATGTCCAGAGTGCGGGAAGTGTTTCACCAGGGTATCGCATCTCATCCCGCACCAAAGAACCCACAGCGGGGTGAAGCCGTTTTCCTGCTCCGAGTGCGGGAAATGTTTTCTGCAGAAGTCGGCCGTCACCAGACACATGAGGATCCACACTGGGGAGAAGCCTTATGCCTGCTCCATATGCGGGAAATGCTTCTCCATGAAATCGAACGTGATTGAACACGAGAGAAACTCACACTGGCGAGAAGCCCTTTTCGTGCTCCGAGTGCGGGAAGTGTTTTACAGAAAGGTCCAATCTCGCCACACATCAGATAATCCACACTGGCGTCCGACCGTATTCTTGTTCTGTCTGCGGCAGGGGTTTCACCACTAAGCAGAATTTGCTTAAACACCAGCAGGTCCACACAAACGCTAAGTCACGTGCCAGTTCCGAGTGAAGAAAGCGGTCTTCAAAGAAACTGTCTTACATCATGTCTCATTTCCTACAGGGGATAAGTGCTTCCAGATGAATCAACTCATGTGCTGGGAGTAGGCCAGCACCACGCATTTTCGTTTGCCCGCATGACATTATAATTTTATTATTTTAGGGTTTCTTTCTGACTTACAATGGTAGCATTTAGTTCTTTTTTTTTTTTTAGTACTGTAGTCGCTGGGAAGCAGGCATTTGATATCATTCCATTATTCTATTGGTACATCCTTTTTAGGCTTTCCTTTCTTGGGTTGTGCAATGTTCTCTTGGGTTAGCACAGTGATAAAGCTACTAGGAAACCACGCATTGAAAGCGAGATACAAATGCAATATTTAGAAGTCTTTTATGTTATACCACAATGGCTACGCGGAACATAGCGCCAATGGGATGCATCTACAATTCGGGTCCTGCAAGGTTGAAGAACCAGGGAAGGTGGGTGCTTGGGTTTAGCCAAGTCAAGCAGGTCTAATGGCTGATCTCGGTCCAAGATACCTTCTCAAGTTTGTTGAGTTATGTTATACCAGAGCAGCTATGCAGTGCATAGCGCCAGTGGGATAATTCCATAGTTCAGGTCTTGCGAGGTCCGAAGAACCAGGGAAGGTGGGTGCTTGGGTTTAGCCAAGTCAAGCAGGTCTAGTGGACGATCTGGGTCCAAGATACCTTCTCAAGCTTGTTGAGTTATGTTATACCAGAGCGGCTATGCAGTCCATAGCACCAGTGGGATGATCCCATAGTTCAGGTCCTGCAAGGTCTGAAGAATTAGGGAAGGTGGGTACTTGAGTTTAGCCAAGTCAACAAGGTCTAGTGGCCGATCTGGGTCAAAGATACCTTCTCAAGTTTATTGAGTTATATTATACCAGAGCAGCTATGCAGTCCATACCGCAGGTGGGATAATTCCACAGTTCAGGTCTTGCGAGGTCCAAAGAACCAGGGAAGGTGGGTACTTGAATTTAGCCAAGTCAACAAGGTCTAGTGGCCAATCTGGGTCCAAGATACCTTCTCAAGTTTGTTGAGTTATGTTATACCAGAGTGGCTATACAGTCCATAGCGCCAGTGGGATGATTCCATAGTTCAGGAGCTGCAAGGTTCGAAGAACCAGGGAAGGTGGGTACTTGAGTTTAGCCAAGTCAACCAGGTCTAGTGGCCAGCCTGGGCCCAACATATTTTCCCAAGCTTGTTGAGTTAT